CTTTAAGCCTTCAGATTTTTCTATAATTAAAAAAAGGTAAAATACAGAAAATTTTCAGTTAACGCCCTCCTCCTTAGCAAAAACACAAAAAAATCATTAATTTGTCAGGTTTACAAATATTGAATTAAAATTTGGAGTGGTAGTAACTGAGTCATCCCTCATGTTTACATTTGATCAAAATGGCTACAACTTCATCCCATTGTGATAAAACAATCTTAGTTTAAAACTCTTGCATGAAAGAAAGAAAAACAAAAAAAAACTTAAAATAGGAACAAATATTAAAAAAACTCAACTCGTTCAAAAAATACTTGTATTGTTTCATCAAGCATATTTGTTCTGATTAATACAGATTGGTTGTTTTTATTTGCTCCTAAATCTATTTCTAGATTAACAACAGTGGTTTCGTTTTGGTTGTTTTTAATTCTGAGTTGAACCAGCAGATCTGTAAGGAATAAAAGAGAAAACTGCAACATAAAAACAAAGTTTTAAAAAGTCCAGTCTTCAGATCTCAGCTTGACTCGTCGTTCAGAAGCGGGAGATGTTGTGAAGTAGCTCAAAAATCCCCAAAAAGCTGCAAAGTCTGAAATCCTGAACAGCACCGAATGAAAACCACGTCTCTGCCGCTTAGCTCGACGGTAATCTGAAATGTCATCAATCCCTGCAGGAAAAGTTGTGCGCCCGCTCCTGCAACCGTGGAAAAGGTCAAAGCGCCGAGGCCCCGCACGCAAGAACCCTGAGCCAGGAGTTGGTGCTGGGGAGGGGGGTGCATAGGACACCTCCACTCCACAGCTGCCAGCATTAATTAAAGTTCGACAGCGAATGATTTTCTGTGACACGAGAACTTTGGATTTTACTTAATGAGGGAAATCATTAAAATTCAAGTCGACGAGCGGCTGAAGAAAAACACGAGGAGGAAGAGGAGACGATGGCTTTAACTATGTAGAAGTGAAACGCTGCAGATGCTCAGGTTAACTCAAAAACAACAACGCAAACAGGTGAACTGACAAACAAACGAGCAATAAAGCTTTTTTATGCAACAGAAACTTCATGATGTCAAAAAGGCTTCGGCTGATCGTTGTCATGTCTCCTTTCCACAACTCAACAATAAAAAGAGCTGCATGAAGAACTGACTGCTATTAATAACACACAGACAGAGGACCCGTCTGCGTTAGTCCTGACTGCGTCTCCTGCTTCACTTCTCCTTTTCTGACACCTTGTCTACTCTTAGGTTTGGAGATCTTGATATTTACCCCCGCAGGAGGCAAAGCAAAGTCTTTGCTCTCATCTCATCTTTAGCAAAATGTCGCCAACCAATGGACAGGTATCAGTGAAACCCTCAGAAAGTAATCACTACGAGTGCGTCTACACCTGATTCAATCTTCATGTCAACCCCATGAAAAATGGCCACCACAGCTAAAACAGAAATGGCTCTAACAGTTTTACAGATATTGGCTTAAAATTTGGTGTGTAGCCAGAAAGTAGTCCTCAACACGTGTGCTACACTTTGTACAATGTGTTGCTTCAAATTTTGGCTTTAACTGTCTGTGTTAGCAAAATATCTCATGACCCACTGGAGAGAATTCGATGAAACTCTCAAAAAGTAATTGTTGGGTTTTTATCTACAAGTCAGTAAATTTTGAAGTAAATACAATCGAAGATGGCCGCCACAGCTGATCAACCTTAGCAAACACAAACCTGTGTTTAGCTCTGTCAGATTACAGATGATGAGCTAAAATTTGGCAGCTGATCCTCAACACATGCTCTGAAAACTAGATCTGCATTATTATGTTGTCACTGATAATGTTTGACCTAACTTCTTCCTCATTTCTCAACATAAGAACGATCTTAAAACTCAGCGGGCGATATGCATTCCATCAGGGAATGCTAGGCCTTTAATGTGTCTTTATGTTGTCCCAAATGTCCCAGACAGAGCAGTGAGAGGAGAGACAGATGAGGTTAGTTCTTAATTCACATTTGACCCCACTCTGTTGTCTCACCTGCAGAGACACTCAGAGACAAACAGTCCATGAGACCTGAGTGTTTGTCCTTGTTCATTCCATCATCCATCCATCCATCATCCATCCATCCATCCATCCATCCATGCAGCCATCCATCCATGCAGCAGCAGCAGCGTTACGCACAAGCATCCAGCAGCACGATATGTATACACACACCGGGGGTGGAATCTACCTGTTAGAACGCGACCGTGCATGACGCCGTGTCCCCCCCTTACCTCTGCCTCGTGTCTCCCTTGACATAGTGTCCTCTCCGGTGTCTTCCTGTCTCCGCGGCCACTCGTTGACGCCGTCGCGCAGACAGTTTAATTACAGCGGCGGCTCTTCGTCAGCCTCTCTCCCGGCTGCTGCACCTGCACACGGGGCGGACTGAACGCGCGCCTCCTCTCGGCACCGGAGCGTCGCTGAGACGGGAAGCCGAAGCTCTCATTCAGCTGCGCAAAGTCCAGCGGAGCGCCGAGACGCAGACAACATACTTTGACTGTGCGTGTTGTTTCTGTGCAGACTTTGCTCACATGTCATGCCCGCCCTGCTCGTTTCCCCCCCAACCACCACACGTCCTCCTTCCCTCCTCTCCGCCGGAGTTGCTCCAACTGGCTCCGGTCTGCAGCTCGACTGCCTCCAGCGGTGCGCGCCGGTCCGCGGCTGCAGCAGCTGGAGGTCCGTCCTCCTCCTGTTGACGCTTCAGGATAAAGACCCGCCAAGCAGCGGAGAGACAGAGGGATGCAGCGTGAGTGTTGAGTGCTGTATGATGCATGACTAGCCGAAATTGAGCTGATAGAGCTAAAACATAGCTGAACACTAGCTAAAAGCTAAATTTAAAAAACGTAAAAGAAGAAAAACAACATCTAATAGATAAAATAAGCAAAATAGAAGCTGAACACTGCATAAAAGCTAAAAGAAGCAACATTAAAATAAATTTAAAATAGCTAAAAACTTAAATGAACAAAATACTAGCTAAAAAAGCTAAATGCTAGCTCAAAGCTAAAAAAAAAGCTGAACACTAGCTAAAAGCTAAGTTAAACACTAACCAAAAGCTAAAATGAGCTAAACACAAGCCAAAATTTCAAAATAGCTGTGTTTAAAAAATAAACAGAACACAGGCTGTAAGCTAAAAAAAATGTAGCTAAACACTAGCTAAAATCTAAATTTAAAGCATAAAAGAAAAGCAATATCTTAAATAAGCAAAACAGAAGCTGAACACTGCATAAAAGCTAAAAGAAGTAACACTAAAATCAACTGAAACTAGCTAAAAAACTAAAATGAACAAAATACTAGCTAAAAAAGCCAAATGCTAGCTAAAAGCTAAAAAAGCTGAACACTAGCTAACATCTAAATTTAAAAGCATAAAAGAAGAAAAACAATATCTAATAGCTAAAAGAAGCAAAACAGAAGCTGAACACTGCATAATAGCTAAAAGAAGTAACACTAAAATCAGCTGAAACTAGCTAAAAACTAAAATGATCAAAATACTAGCTAAAAAAGCCAAATGCTAGCTCAAAGCTAAAAAAAGCTGAACACTAGCTAAAAGCTAAGTTAAACACTAACCAAAAGAAATTAGCTAAACACATGCTAAAATTTCAAAATAGCTCAGTGTTTAAAAAATAAACAGAACACTCTAAGCTAAAAATGTAGCTAAAGACTAGCTAAATTCTAAATTTAAAAGCCTAAAAGAAGAAAAACAACATCTAATAGCTAAAATAAGCAAAACAAAAGCTGAACACTGCATAAAAGCTAAAAGAAGTAACACTAAAATAAACTGAAACTAGCTAAAAAACTAAAATGAACAAAATACTAGCTAAAAAAGCTGAATGCTAGCTAAAAGCTAAAAAAGCCGAACACTAGCTAAAAGCTAAGTTAAACACTAACCAAAAGAAATTAGCTAAACACATGCTAAAATTTCAAAATAGCTCAGTGTTTAAAAAATCAACACAAGCTGTAAGCTAAAACTTGTAAACACTATAGTTAAAATCTAAATTTAAAAGCATAAAAGAGGAAAAACACCAGATAATAGCTAAAATAAGCAAAACTAGCTACTGAACACTGAAAGAAGTTAGCACTACATGGCTAAAATTAACAAAATAATAGCTAAAAAAAAAGGGCTGAATGCTTTCTCAAAACTAAAGTAGCCAAACACTAGCTAAAGGCTAAAAAAAGGTTACAGACTAACCAAAAGCTAAATTGAACAAATTACTTGCTAAAAATTCAAAATGCTCGCTCAATGTTAAAAAAACAAGAACACTATCTAAAAGCTTAACTTAAAAGAATAAATAAACAAATAAGAAAACACCAGCTAAATGGCTAAAATAAGCTGATCATCTAGAAGCTGAGCAGTAAAAGCTAAAAGAATACCTCTAAAGTCAATTGACAATAGCTAAAAGCTAAAATGAACAAAATACTAGCTAAAAAAAGCCAAATGCTTTTTCAAAGCTATAGAAGCCGAGCACTAGCTAAAATAAGTCAAATTCTAACCAAAAGCTAAAATGAGCAAGACCACTTGCTAATAAAAGCAAAACTCAGGCTAAAAGCTAACAAGAGTTTTGCACATTTCACCAAATGTATTTTTACATATTTTCTGCTCTTGTAAGAAAAGATATTGATAATCTGACGTATTTATAGAAACTAATAACTGCAATGGAACAAAGGTGTTTGAGTCGTCACTCCTGTCAACTATCCATCACCGAAACAGCAGGAGCCGCCTTGGTCACACAGGGGCAGTCACGCAAGCAGAAACGAAAATGGATTTTTGAAAAGAAGTGGCTCGAAAATAGAACCAAATCCCATCAAAGTGCGGTCGCTGCGTTGTGCGGACACAATGGAGCCCATAAATCATATTCCCTTAACTTTTAAACCTTTAAATCCACACGTGAGACGCACATTCTGACAGGTTCATTCTTAAGCTCATTTTAAAGAGACACTACTGCAACACTTGACCTGGAAATGTGTAAAATAGCTTTTCTCACACATTTACACATGCGTGTGTATGTGTGTGTGTTTGTGTGTGTGTGTGGAGTGGTCATGGTAACACCGGCTGCTTTCGCCTTCACATGTGGTCCGACTGTCCTGGAAGAACACTCATCCACACAAAGAAGAACTGACAGAGGAAGACAGGCGTGCATTCAAAAGCTGCAACACAACTACGTTACCAAACCTCAGTGAAAGCATACACACTCAGGGGAAGGCAGCAACATTCTTGTGCAGAACAATGAGCTGAGATCCCACAGAGAAAAAAACTAATTGAAAAGGCCTCGAGGCCAGGAAGTCAGAGAGACGGATAGGAACGATTACGGCGCATGGCTGCCAAGTCAAGGCCCATACGAGGAAGTGGGAACAAACTGATCAAATTAAGTGGGTTTCTTTTGTATAAACGTCCAAAACACCACAGCACCCTGCGTCTCCACAGAAGAATCTGCAAGATACGCACTGATATTTTTAAAAAGTGCCACATTCTAACAATGAAACTCCTCCGCAAACACGACACGACGTTGATGAAGTGCAGCGCGGGCGTGCAGGAACTCCATCAGGTAATGCTGTTTAGAAGCACTGCAGGGCTTTTGGAAAATGGAGGCAGGATCTGCTTCAGCAGCATAAAGCATCTTTGGAGCCATTAACGAGGCTCCGAATGCAGTCAGCAAAATGAATGAAGAGCCCAAGGTGCCGATTTCTGGCTGCTGAGGAATTCTGCTGCATCGTAAGAAGGAAAACAGTGACGGTACTAAAAACATAAGACCATGAAGCGTCATTCACACATAGCTGCAGTGAGAAAGTATTTGCCTCATTTCAGATCATCGAACATGTTAATAAGTTCAAGCAAGCGTTTTTAGGGAAAAAAGTCATTTGAACCACCCTGTGTGAAAAAATAATTCCCATCTAAACCTAACAACTGATTATGACCCCCTTGGAGTTTGTGAGAACTGGCAGCAAGTTTCTCCACATTTAGCTGCTTTAATCATCATCTTTGCTGCAGAACCCAAAAGATCTGAACAGATGGGACATCCTCCTCACGATTTATGGTTCCATCAATTACAGCGAGTGCTCCAGGTTCTGAAGTAGCCCCCACATGCTAGCTCAAAGCTAAAAACAGCAGAACACCAGCTATTGAGCAAAACACTGTGAAAAGTTGAACACTACCTAAAAATTAAAAGAAACAAAATCCTTTGACACTAGCTAAAAGCTAAAATGCACAAAACACTTAGTAAAAGAAGCTGAATGCTAACATAAAGCTAAGAAAGGAGAACACCCGCTAATAGATAAATTGAGCAAAACATTATAAAAAGCTGAACACTACCTAAAAGAACAAAGAAATGTCTTTTGTCACCAGCTAAAAGCCAAAATTAGCAAAACACTTGCTAAATGAAGCTAACTATCTCACAGCTAAAAAAGTTGAACACAAGTAAAACCTAAAATTAATAAACAATAGCAAAAAGCTACAAAAGCAGAACATCAGCTAATAGCGAAAATATTGGAGTTCTACCTAGAAGCTAAAAGAAGTAACACTAAGTCAGGTGACGCTAGCTAAAAGCTCAAATTTGCAAAATTATAGCTTCAAAAAACTGATAGCTGAAGTCTTAAAGTGCCAAACACTAGCTAAAAGCTTAAAAGGCCTAACTCAAGAGTTTTGCACATTTGTCTAAATGTTTTGTAATATATTTTCTGCCCTTGTAAGAAAAGATATTGATTTTCTTTACAGATTTTCTGACAGTACAAGTAGGATTTTACAGTAAGTTGTCTTGAAGCAGCATAGAAGTCCCATACCATCACACTACCTCCACCATGTCGTTGGCATTTTGATACTGACTATTCACTCTCTGAAGGTTTGGAAACGATTTATTTACACAACAAACTGAGGAGTTACTCTTATATGGATTAAGAAGTTAAACTGTAACCAGATGTATAAAAAAGTTTAAAGACAACCTTTAATCAGATATAAGACGTATCAGACAATAACTGCATATTCAAAATGACCTCAGAAACGATGCACACACAGTGAAACATATCAGAACACAAAGTTACAGCCGTATTACGAACAACGACCAGCTTCTCAGTACGAATGACTAATAAGGACCTCACATCCATCTGGTATGAAGAGCATCAGCTGAAAAAAAACATGAATGTCAAAAACCCACCTGTCACTGACGCCTACAGAACAGTGTCCACGAGCTGCAGTCACTTCAACACTGACCAGTTTGAAAATTAGCTCAAATAACGAGTCAGTGCTCAACCTCGAGGCAAGGTCTAACCTCTCAAATTATTCTGAATTATAAACTGTTAAAAAAAATAAAGTTAATTCTGATTTTTTTTTTAACTGTAACGTTGGCTTTTGCAATTTTTTTTACAGCATCAATGCCACTGAAAAAACCTAATCTGGGAGCTTGTTTTACTGTTTCATGGACAAACATAGCCTAGTCTTAGAAAGATACTGAATTATTCCAGTGAGTGCTGTTGTTATGGAGCTGGTAGCGGGGCAGCAGCTTGAGCAGGGAGGCCCAGACGTCTCTTTCCACAGCCACCTCCTCCAGATCTTCTGGGAGGACTTCTTGGCATTCCCAGGCCAGCCAAGAGACATACTGGACGCACTGGAATGAGGACAAACCGATTGTTGCTCCATCTCACGCAGTAGAAAAAAATACAAATATTTGAAAACTCAGTGAACATAATTTGTTTGTGGTGAAAAAAGAACGGACAAAAGATCCAAAATCAGATAAAATCCCACTTAAAAACAATTACACTGTGCTCAAACAAATGAACAAACACGTTTATCAGGTTGAAAATGTCATTCTCCAGGTTTGAAAACCTTTATTTAGAAAACAAATTAAAACAAGGAAATTAAAGTAGACATGGCTTCCAAACATTTCATGATAGACACCATATGTTAAAATTTATTTCCATGTTCCAATATAAAAATAGAAAGTGTAAGTAATCCTCAGGGAGCGTTAAACCAAGTGCAATGGTAGGGCAGTAATCTTATAATCCTCTGTAACGTTGTAATGGTCTCTCCAAGCTTATCTACCTTTAAACTAACTTTCCCCGAGGAATTCAAGCTTGGATCAAATGGGCCATAAAGAGTGATGAGACTAATGCTCCCAGTGCAACGCAACAATCTCATCTGCTGGAGCTGCTTTAAAATGTCTCATAATGCTTCATTTATATTTAGAATAAAACCATGTTTACATAAAAATAAATAAAACCACAAAGTGAAAACCCCAGCTACGAAATGTACAAAATAATAAATAATCATTTAGTCTTGAGGTCAAAACATCATTCTGTTTAAAAAAAAAGATTATTTCATTCAAGATAATCAAACCAGTCCATTTACTTTGTCCCATTGCAGCCTTTTACTGGCCGAGCAGAGCTGCAGCTGGAGCTGGAGGGGATTGGATCGGCTGAAGAAACTCCGAGGTGAAGACGGCCTCGGCGTATTCCTCCGCCACTTCCTGAAACTCTTTCACCACGTCAGCCAGCGCCTCCGACAGCAGCTCATCTGCCAGGCTGGAAGACGGAAAGGAGAAACCACACACGGTTAAAATGATGACTCCTAAACTCCTATATTCATAATAAATTAAAATAAATACATTTGGGAACTTTGGACAAATTGTAAAATAAAAACAGATGTTTTTTTTTTCTGTGCTTGGATAAAAGCATCTCTTATTCTCAGCTCAGCAGCACAGATTTACTGAGAGCATGTTTACAAAAACAACCTGACTGAGCTTTAGAAGTGGAAAAAGGAAAGTCTGACATTTCTGAAGTGTCCTAATAGCTACGAAAAGAAAAGTCTGTAACAAGTGTTGAGCTTTGTGTTTGAACATTATCTGGGTCAACGTGCCAGCATTAAAGCAGCAAAGGGTGGGAGCTGTCCCAGGAAGCCCCAAAAAACATCAAACCTTCAAGCTGTCTGGTGGTGAACCAAAACTAGCAGAGAGACTGTGTGTTGCTGCACCATTAAATCATAAAAACAAAACTTCTCTGCAGTAAACGGAGAGGAAAAACAGCGACGAATCGACCAATCTGCATTAGAACAACCATTATGAGAACTTGCAGCTAATTTGCTCAAAGCCCTGCGTGCTCGTCTGAGTGACTCTCCACGCTCTGTGTATTTACCACACCACTAATTGTGCAGCACAAGATTAATGTTGTTTAAGTCTCAAAATGAGGAAGTTCATCCAAACACTGAGTTATTATCCCACTCAGTGTTAGAATCACAGCTTCAAGGATGTTTTTTTATGTTGTGGCGGTGCTCAAGACTATGTTGCAATCAAACTGTTAGCAGACAGACTGAACGAGATCCTCCAGGTGGTGTGGCTCCACACCAGCACTCAGCTGCTCATTACCAGCTCATCACGCAGGAGGGATTCTGCACTCTGTCACAATCGCAGTGGGGGGGGGGTGTACAGCCAACATGTGTCCGCTATCTGCCTCCAAAAAGGGCTGAAATAATTAGATAGCCTCATATAGTATTCTGTTTTACGCACCAAACTCAGAGAAGACTTTAATTGACTGACGTGGGACTAATAATGAGCAAGTTGCACAAAGATGACACCTTCATGACAGCAGCTGTGAGCTCTGCTTCTCACAGTCGCACACAAATGTACGAGCACGGTGAAACGCTCATTTGAAACGACAGCGGGTTCATGGAATCTGAAGGGTTTTCTAAAAAGTAAGCATCTGCACACAAACAGGACCGTTCAAGCACTAAAACCCACCGTCAGAGCAATCACTTCCTGCAGGAGGAGAAAGCACAAATATGCTTCTGCAGAAAGTTGCTTAAAAGTATCTCCGTTACAAAAAGAGCTCAGTAAGAGAAATGATATATTTTTAGTTCATCGAGGGGAACTGCACCTCAAAACTGACATAAAACGTCTTTGTTTATTTTTTGCTTCTAATCAGTTGTTTTCCAGGGTTTCTGAAGGTCTTTCAAAGTATCACCAGAAAACATTTCAGTCACCCTTCGAATATATTATTTTGTAAATTTAAATTATTTAAAATTTCTGAGTTGGTTGATTATAATATCTTGCAGATTATGTATAAGGCTAAAAAAATTACCTTTAAACATCCAGTTATATTTTGTTAAGAGAGAAAGTTCTTATAATCTTAAAGGACTTGAGATGTTTATTAAACCTAAAATTCGAAGTTCAAGGAATAAGATTATGGAATAATCTGGAAAGTGATTATAAAAATGTCGGTTCAATGTATTTAAGAGAATGATAAAATAAGTTTGTTAAAGAAATACGAAATTGTATAATGTATAACAAAAGTTGTTTGAGAAAGAATTAAAGCTTTTGTTTTGTTTCTTGATTATTATTGCTTGAAATTAATTATGGAAAAAAGGAGCAGATATTAAAGGATTTTTTTCTTCTTTCTGCCTCCTTTCATTTCAATTTGGATTTGCATATTTTTGTTGTGTATTAAAAAAACAATTGTTTTTTTGTTTTTAAATGAAATGAATAAATGAATAAAACTAAAACTAAAGTTTATCTTTGACGACCTTGTCGAAAATTTCAGTCCTGTGTCTGATATAAGAAGCCGCCAAACTCCGACCTACGAATTATTCAGACAATAAAACTCAAAGGTTTTTAGCCTCAGAACTAATAATCAAGTCCACTTTAAAATATCAAAAGAAATTCAGACTCCTTTAAAGTTAATAAAGAAAAATCAGCGGTGGTTTAAAGCTTTTGTTCTGTTTTGAATATGACCATCAAACCGTAGCTGAATATTATAAAAGAACACGTTTTAGGTGTGATCAAAGCTGCTACAGCTCTGGCATGAGTCAGCAAAAAGAAAAAAAAAAAACGTTGACTCATCGTCCATCACCACTTCGCTCTGCCTCAAACAACGATTTGTTTGACAAGTACCCTGTTTTTTTGTTTTTACCTGTCTGTGACAGCCCAGGGGTTGAAGCTGCCGACGACCTCGTGATCCACGGCTCTCAGGTAGGCATCGTAGTCATCTAGGTACCGGCGTATGTTCCTCAGCGTGCCGCCTGGCACTGAGAGAACAGTCCTGCTCCTATCCGCCGCGCCTGGGGGCGTGCTTTTGTTCGTTGGCGGCTGCTCATCCTGGGATGCCTCCTCCGCTGGGCTGTTCTCAAACAGGAAACTGTGACTGTGGAAAGATGACAGAATCCTCAACGGGCGAGGCCGACGTAAAATACTTTCATCTCAACGTTCTGGGGTAAACATACTGCCTCTGAGGGTTGTTTCTGAAGACGTACGCTCATTTGCTGACACTGCAGTGATGTGATAAACCTGAAATCCTTGCTGTGCCCCACAGGAGGTTGGAAGGTGATAACTTAAGCAATGGTACCGACTCTCAGCTCCTTGTTTGGTGCGAGCTGGGGGGCCCTCAGCTGGGCATCGCCAACGTCTGACTTTTTAATCCTCTCTGCCCAGACAAATCAGCCTGGCTCCTGCAACAGCACTCGCTGCGCTATATTTAGTGTCGAGGCGGCTCACGAGCAAAGAGCCTCTCTCTATTGTGCTCCCGAGGCTTTCGGCTGAATTTGTTTGGGTTCTGACCGGCGAGGCTGCAACAGAAACGCGGCAGCCATAAATATCAAAGTGCTGACATGGTCAACTGGGCCTCTGCTCCCAAACAGGTCGGTTTGCAGTCAGACGGCCGTCAGAGGACCAGCGTGGTAAAAATAATAAAACAACACAGTAATGAACTGGCCCGCTGCCTAGGATTTTTATGACGTAATCAAAAAATAAACACCCTGCTACAAAGAGACTGCCAGCAAGGGCAAAATGAAACTTTTATGCTGAAGGTGAAAGAACAATGTGCAATGAAACAGCGTTATGAAAAAGTGATAAAGCTCCCGTGGCGCTCTGTTCCTCATCATTCATTTAAACCGCGGCCAGTTTAAGGATTCTCAAAGACGACAAGGGAACAATTTAGGCTGCCAGGTTTGAAATAAGCAGAAAAAGAAATGCACGTAAAACTCCTGCGCTTCATCGCTGAACATCTGAAAGTCCTTCACAATTTTATGACTCGCTTGTGTTGGAGTTTCACAACTTTTCACAGGTTCTGTGCAGAATAAATGTTTTAGGAATGAAGCCTGTTGGAAATGTTCCTCATTAATCCGGTGTTCTGACAGAATAGCATACCCATCAGAATAGCATACCCTCAAACAATACGCATGTGCTGCAATGAAATCCACATCATTGCGCATGTGTCAAATCCCCATCATTTCATCATACCTCCAACTACAAACTGTAAGTTTTCTAAATACACTGAGGTTTTTTATTTTATTTTTTAGCAATGGAGAGTGAGGCATAAAACCAGTAAGGTTAGTTTTAGAAAAAGTGATCAGGGTTAGGGTTAGAATAGCATACTTCTCTATAAAGTGTGTTTTATATACAACAAATAGGCTTAGCTGTAAGAACAGCAGACCCCTTTGCAAACATTGGTGTGTTGTTCTGATAAATTAACTTAAACTGACAGATGGAGCTTAACAATCAACTTCCTGTATGCTACTCTGACCGGGTTTGCCACTTCGACAGAACACCGGGAATGTCTGACAGATCTCATAACGTCTGATTTGTTTTAAACCGTATTTGTGTTATGTTGCATAAATAAGGTTACCATCAGAAAAAATGTTGCAATAATACGTTGATTGATGTTGGCTTTAATAATCCTGTTTGAACAAGAAACACAAGCTGATTAATAAACTGGTTAAATGCCAGAAATGCTAATTTTAGCCCCGATCAAAATGTCCACATGAAAATCCAAGGTGTACACACAACAGGACTTGGAATATTTTACTTATATGGCTCTAAGCTTTTCTCTGTTTCAGCAATTATTAAAATGACTAATTACATAACTAAACTGCAAAATGTCATTGTAATGTAAATTATAATGACAAAGACTATTCTATTCTGTCAAATAAAAAGATTCTTTTGGTTTTTGGATTCATTCAATTACCAGCTGTCCAGCAGAGAACCCGGTAAAATGAAAAGTGTGCCGTTAAACAATAATGCAATCACCTCAGGTTTGGGTGACGGGTGCTTCATGGCTGCTAGAAAAACAAGAGGACAAAGGACCTGACAGATAAGCTGCTGTGTGCAACGTATCAAATGGAAAACAAGCTGGGCTGAGATGGGGGGGAAAAAAAGATCTGAAAGATAGAAAGGGATGATTCAAGTAAGACTCGGGTAAACCTCGGTGACAACAGGCGGGATGATTTTGTAAGAAGCAGAAATTGTGGTTCATCATCTCGACAGGAAACTGTTAAAAGTCTTTCATCTCGCTGCCTGCGTTGGTTTAATGATTAATCAGAACGAAGACGACCGAAGCTATCGCAGCTGTGAAACCTGCAGCTTACTAAGCAAAGGAATACTTGACCGGAGAGGAAGGACTGATGAAAAGTTTACAATGTTGCCGAGCGAAGCTTTCATCTTTGTTTTTATTGATTTGTTTGACCTGCTGATGGAGCTGCAGCGGGTCGGTCCAACTCATCCAGGTCTGAGGCTTCTCACCGTGGACACAAACAGGAAATCTTATCGTCTGCTCTGATCCTGTTCGATGCTCACTCTCCATTGTGTCACTCAAAAACACGCACACAGGCAGAGGCAGCAAGAAAAATACATACATATTTTGAAAATAGTCACACAAAAAAATCTTAATTCTTAGTTTGAGCCTTTATAACAGCAGCTAAAATGACGGATAAACAATAAAAAAAAATAGCAAGAAAGTTATAATGAACTCCATCCTGTCAGTGTTTTGGTCATGAAGCTATTTCGTACATCTCCAGTAACAGGCACACTAACAAACACCTCCAGCTTTTTCCCTGTCCCATTAAAATTTCCAACATTTTGCTGTGCACAGGGCATAAAAACTGCATGCCTGGCTGTAGCTTCCCTGCTGATAACGAAGCTAAATAAGTCTCTCAGGGCAAAAAAAAAAAAAAAGAAGTGGGTTTTAAACAACAAACCGGGGCTGAGGCAGCAAACCCGATGAGCTCGTCACACGTTTTGCTGCACCAAATCCCTCAAATTAAACCTCGCCATTCTGCTACACCGAACACTGAAAGAGTCAACAATGAAGGAGGATTAACACGATCCAATGTTGGTACAAAAATAAATGTGTTTTTTTTTTGCACAAAAGGAAATGAGGCTAGAGATCTTCTAATCGGCTGCTGTGTGAGGAGCAGAGAAGAAGAATATTATCAAAGTCATCTCAATTCAGTATTCTGTCTTATCTGGGTTTTCCTGCAGCTACAGTTGTTCAGGCACAGAATTATTAATTATCTTGACTGCTGGCAGATATTTCAAGTGTCGGCACTGGTGAGTACCTGGAAGCTGAGGCCTCAAAATAGCAAAAAAACAAATAAATAAATAAACGGAAAGTGTTTGCTTCAAAACGCCTGCAACAAAACTCTTTTGTTTTTCTGTTTCTTGTGTAAACCGCTGGATTCTGATGCATCTGCAGCTGGGAGCATATTTTGTGAGATTGGGAGCACAAATCCCAATCTCTGCCTCTGTTTCTGATTCATGACACTGAATAAATTGTTTTGCTGAAGAACATTATGTTGTCAAGGCGAAACTGACCTTTTGGATGTAAAATGTCACCACTGCCTCATTGTATCCATTTAGACACTCGTGTTAATTTCCGTCGCCATTAATTATTCATTTATGACCAAAATCAAGTTTTCTGAAGTGACAGTAATTATGACCTTTGACAATTAAGTTCTATAAAAGAAAAAAAAACTGAATCATTTCCAGTTGAGACAGATTTGTGGGAAACTGAAGGTGTTTCAGACACAGTTGGAAAGTGACTGCAGAATGGGCTGAGTCTTCATCCAGACAGAGGCAGAGGTGACTGATGTGTGCGATGTAGTTCATTTTCATTTGCTAATGAGAACTATCACTGCACGAGAGCCTGAACCACAAAATGTTATGCAATAGGGGTGTAAGAAAATATCGATACACTGAAATATCGCGATATTTCATTTCCCGATACTGTATCGATTTTCTAAAGCCCTGTATCAATTTTTTATTAAGGTGTAAAATGTCAACTTTCCTGCCAGCCGTTCATTTTTATGTTGTAGTTCAGCCTCTGACCACTAGTTAGCAGCAGTGAGCCAGCCATTTGGTTCCTCTACCTCAAGAGGAGTTACAGTAAGTGTTGGGTGACCATATTTTAAAAGCTGCAAAAAATATATTTTCAAACTATTTATTGTCAAATTTAGTTTAATAATTGAAAACATGGATGAAATAAGAAATATGAAACAAATAAAATAAAATACATACAAAGCAGAACACAGCTAAATGTATCAAAAGCATGTCTATGTAATATTAGAATTTTCTGAGACAATGAATTTCGGTTTTTCTTTTTTTTTTCCCTGTAAGAGGTTTTTATTTAATAGAATTTTTGGACAAAAAAAAATCACAATATATCGCAATATATTGCCTTGCTTATAGTATTGCAATATATCGGGATATATCGTATCGTGACACCTCTGTCATGATATGTATCGTATCGCCAAATTCTTGCCAATACACAGCCCTGTTATGCAACCAAGTTTCATTTGCACTGCTGTTATTCAGTTAAACTGAGACATTTCATGGAGAAGACATTCTGTTATGGGCTGTGTGTGAAGGACCAACACACCAAGTGAAAAACAATATCTTTCCTCTCAAAACAATAAAAAGAACATCAGACACTCCCGATTTAATATTATTTCAATCTTATGTACTGCTGAGTCATTTTGATGGGCATCTGTCACTCATATATTCACATAAAATGTAAAATCAAAATTCAAATTCATTTAAAAACTGCCTGTGGGCAGAGCGTGATGGATGCTGACTTACCGCAGCCCGGCTGGTACCAGACTGGGTTAATGAGCAACGAGATCTCTTGTTCTGTGTTGTTTCATTTGTTGTGAATGGACTTTAAGCTCGGTTGGTGGGTTTACAATCATAAAAATAAGCTAAAAGATAGACACTAACGATGCTCTGTGAGTAATGTTTAAAAGAAATGCTTGAAATTCTGACTTGCAGTGCTGTAATACGACTACAGCACATCACAGACATTTTATTAAGACTTCATAAAATTGTGTTAACTCTTGAAAGATAAACCATATCTTCATTAAAAACCAAAAGTGTTTTTCCTATTTTTACTGGCTGCCTTTAAAAGTGCTCGTTGCACTTTATTAAACAATGCAGTTTAAGAGCTTACTTCATTAGTTTTCCAGATATATTGATAAGATTCTGAAATGCTGGTATGCATTCATTGTAAACAAAGCACTTTTATCTGATCAGCAAACCTGAGTGTAAATACACAGCAATCACCAGAATGATCAGACTTCTCTTTCCCAAACAGACATTGTCATTGTTGATTTATTTTTAGTCACTTCAGCTGTTTCCATAGGTAAGCAAGCAAAATATTTTTAATTTTTTTTTTATTATTTAAGGACACTTTAAGCATTTATATGAGGAAAAACGTGCAGACTTTGGTTTCTTTGTGATTTTTTTGAACTGCAATGAGTACGTCTAAGCTTCCTTTTAATTTGGACTGAGAAAACAGGCCGGTTTCTTATACGTTTTGGGTCTGGGTTGTGCAACTTTTACAATAAAATGAGAAATGGCTGCATCTTGGCTCACTAATAAAATGTGTCTGAATCCGCAAAACATGCTAAAACTTTCATTTTCAACTGCTGGTCTGTGGGCCACTTTGAGTTTGTTGAATGTGGGCCTTTTCAGTCAGTGGGGGTGACATTATAAAACTAAAAATATATTGAGAATTTTAATGTTTATTATTATTTTTAAACTTGTGGACAAAGAAAAGACCACATTCATGTAAACAAGGAAAATACTGTATAAAGTTTATACCAACTTTAATGAAAACTACAACTGAACAGTGCAGGCATATTTTTTCCTAACTCTTATGATTATCTAGTCTCTAAAGTTTTAAAGGTAATCCAGATGGATTTAAGAGAAATTATATACTTTAAGGTTGTAAGGTGGATTAATGAAGTGGTCAACAAACTACTAGCATGATGAACTCAACATATTGCACTCTTTGAATTACTGATCACATATTTGCAAATTAATTGAAAGGAATACTGCTAAAGCTCATTTCTGTTGAGCTTAAAAATAAAAAATGTAATGTTAGCTTCAAAGAGCCGCAGGTTGCAGACCCCCCCCCCCCCCCCTCCACCCCAGTTCAGGGATTTCATTAGGAGAAATGAGCTGGCAGAAAACAAACAGACACAATTAATACTTGACTTCTAAATGGCTGGGTTATGTTTGCCAAAACCCAGTGCTGTTACTTTATTAATCCATTAAGTGGAGTCAAAGATGAGTCAGAGTGGATCTCTGAATAAAGTTTCTATAAAGAGATCCGAACCTAAAGCCCTTCAGTCCAGGATTCAATTTGCTAATGCTCACGACTCGAACTTGTCTGAAATTGCCTTTCCTGCAGCTCGGTCTTTGTCAACAGCTTCTAGTTCTTCCTTTCTCTCCTCCCTTCCCTCCAAGGTCTTTATTAATTTAAGCGGTTGAGCGAATGAAGCCTTGGGCAGCGGATGGTTTCTGTCAGCCAGAGTCAGGAATAGACTCTGCCTCGGGTACGGTACCCACCGAGTGAGTTCCACGGGACGAGTAAGGCCTCCCAGCAGAGAAGTGTTTGTGGAGCACCGGCACGAGGGAAACAAATACACACTCACTGTGCACCACTAGAAGAACATTAAACACTTCCTTTTTATTGCATTTAGAGGTCCAATTATACCAGCAATAAATGAGTTTCTGTGAGGGAGGCTGTTGTTATTACACAGCACGGTGGAACACCATAGGATCTCTTTAACTGCAAGAGAAACGCATTAAAACAGGCCTCAGTTCTCCAAAGACATTAGAATTCTGCACTTTTTGGGGATTTACTTTATAATTTTATGCAATCAGCTCTGTACTTGAACCACATTGACTGATAATGGGAACTAAGACCTATAATTTCAGCTCTAAGAAGAGTAACCCTCAATATTAAGGTCTAATATTTCTAAACCACTACCAGTGAAAATGAGACCTAAAGGACACGGGCAAATAAAAGAAATGATGAAGCACAACTCACCCTGTGTCTATGGGTTTCTTCAGGACGATATCGACTGCAGGAGTCTGTTTCAGCACCGGTTTTGTGAGTCTAATTGGCTGAGGAGAGGCTGACCTGGAGCCTGGAGCGTGGCTCTGAGATCCTGAGAAGAACAGAGGAAAAAGGGAAATGATGGTGTGTGTTACCAGAGAGCAGAGACAGAGAGACAAACAGAAGAGACGAGCAATCAGTCTGAATGATAAATGGTCCTCTTCTCTTGCCTGTAGCGGCTCCGTCTCCGCCTATCAGAGAACAGTTCTCTGATCATTTTCTCACCTGTGCAGTTAGAATTAATGAAAACTACATTTTAATTAAATCTCTTTACCTGCTGCTCCAGGCCGCTCCCAGTAAAGAGGGTCTGAATAAGTGATGGAGGCGAATCGTCTCCTCACTTCTTCCTCATCCCTCTGACAAAAAAAAAAAAAAACACGCAGAAAAGCAACAAACACGGAGTTTTATTTTGCATTTCCTGTGAAAATGCTAGTGTGAAAGCTTATTGCTAAAAACTTTAGCAGAAATGGAGCTGGAAATGTTTTATAGCTAAACTGTTAACACCAGTTCCATTTGAAAGGTTGAAAAAAAGCACAAGAACTACCAGAAGAATAAAAGAAAGGTGCAGAACAATAGCTGAAAAAAGCAAAAATTAGCATAAAAACAAGCTAAAGGTCACAGACACAAGTTAAAATTAGCACCCAGATGGTAAAATGGCTTTAAAAAATGTAAAATTAGCAGAATAAAAAAGCATAAAAAAAGAACAAAAAAGACAATTTCTTGTAAAATAACTCAAACTGCTGAAATTTGTAGTACAACAGCTAAAATCTTGCTTGAATTTTTTTAATTAGCATAAGGGAGCTTAAGGAGCATAAGTTTGCTGCATGAAGCAGAAAGAAGCTGAAATATCCACCAAATTGTGAATTTAGCCTAAAACCTTTAGCTAATAACAGCTGAACATTAGCTAAAATAGCCGCAAATAGCTGAATAATATATTAATCAACTGTAAGAAGCAGAAATATCTCAAATTATCAGAAAGAAGCACAAGAAGTAGAATAGAAAGAAGCAGAATTATAGCTGAAATAGCAAAAAAGATGCTAAAATTAGCGCAATGTAGTTTAAAAAGAGCAGAACCAGAACAAAAGGTGTAAGGTGCTGTAAAGATTTAGGAACACTTTAGGATTTTAAGGATGTTGGAAACAGCTCCATTTATTTTTAATGGGAAAAATGTGGCCGAAAAAGAGAAATAGCTAAAAAAGTATAAATGGTTGAAATACCAAAAGTCATAGCTGAAATGTCTTGAAGGAGCTGAACGTTTTGATATATGAATTGAATGAATGCTAAGAAGCATTCACACAATTAAACAAAAATCAATATGAACCATACAGGTAACATATTTTTCTTCTTTAAAAGCATCATTTATAGGGATTATTTTTGTTACATTTTATATTAAAGCCCAGTTTTACAACAGAAATTGGTAAGCAGCAGCAGAGCTGTCATAACAGATCACTGTAAATAACAAGCGGATCAGAAGTGACCTTTCAGGTTCTTCAGTGACCTTTTTACCGGCGAGCCTCTGTGGGGCAGCTCTCACCTGGATCTGCTCCATCCGAAGGAGCATGTTCTCCAGGGCGGGGGCCCGCAGCGCGCTCTGGACCGTCCCCTCCAACCGCCGCTCAGCCTCAGCAGCCCACGCAACCCGAGCGTCATCTTCCAGCTCTGCCTCGCGCCGCTTTCCATCACAGATCAAACGGATTCTGGTCGTTAAAAAACTTCACTCTGAAAAAATTTAGAATAAAAGTAAACTCACCTTCTCTTGCTCCGAAAACTGAGTCCTCCGCAACGCAGCGCCCCTAATCATGTCCTCCCCATCCTGCTGAAGACCAAAGAAACAATCGGACCGAGTGTTCTGGTTTTAACTTCTGAATGAGTTTACAGCGTAATGATTTCTCTCACATTAAAACAATTATTTAAAAAGAGCAGACAGGTGTGTTTGCTGTGGCATCACTCAGGAAAGCAGATAAACCTTCCAACCTGCTTTTCAGGAGGAAGTGTTTGAATCATGTCTTCAGCCTTCTGCTCAGCTCCGTCAGCCCGCTGATTCTGCCAGACAACTTCAGACCTGTTGACCAAAATACACCCACACCGCCAGCTGTCAGACTGAAAAAACTTCTGATAACGAACTGCTTTAATGAAATATGTTAATAAATGAAGATGTTAAGAAATTTGCTACACTTTAGGTGTCCATGGCTCGACTTTACCTGGAATAAGTTTTCATGTCTTTGTAATAAATAAACATTTATCAAAAATACGGTGCCTTTTATGGAAATTACAGAAATAAGTATTATAAAGTCAGCTGTAAAGCAGGTTGTGTTTTAAATGACTAACCTTTAGGAAGTGTCTTTTTTGTGAATCCGTGTGTTTGTAATCTTTGGCTTTTATTTGAAGCATCTCAGAAATGTCAAATGCACAAAATCAAAGGTTTTTAGCTGTTATTATTATTAATCATGTTCTCTTTTGTTGGGTAATAAACTTCCAACTGTGAACAAAAAAATCTCTTCAATTAAAGCAAAATCATTCAAAAAGAAAAAAAATCTAATCATGAGCCCAAACACACTGCTGTCTGCACCTTCTGCACCGCTCCTGCTGTGTTTTCTAGCTCTTTTCTTACAGTTCTTCCCTCCGATGACTAATTAGGAAAGCTTAATTGGTCAATAGGACTAAATGAGTGGTCAATAGGAAAATGTGCTCCCTCTCTGGTTATTTATCAAATCCACAGCTTGAATTGTTTTCCGTTTCTGTAATTCTCTGTAATACTAAATATTCAAACGGGATCAAGATGTTTATTCCTGTCACCAAAGGACTGTTCATAACAAAAGATCCTTTCAGTTTCAAACTGTGGCTGGTGATGTGAATACCTCCACGCTTTGAATTGTCTCGTGGCGTACCTTAATCTCTGAGCGGCTTCAGCCTCTTCTCTGATGAGACGGTAGAGCTGTTTCCGTCTCTGCACACTCGTCCCCTCTTGACAAACTTTTCTGTACCAAACCAACAATTTTAAATTTAAACACAGAACAAGCTTGATTAAGCCTTCTGCGTGAATAACTTATAATCCTTGTCCCTAAAACCAGGCTGCGAGCTACTGATTAATAGGAAAGCACAACGATAGTAATTAAGACTTGATTAAACGGAGGCATACGTGCAACACTTAATCAATGAGGGTTTATAAGCAGCCAAAGCGGGCCAGCTATTATTCACTCAAAAAGAGAAACGGCCTCGATCTAGAGAGCATCCAGATTAATTTATTGGAAAAAATTAACGTTGAATCATAATCACAGTGTTGCCTGTGGCTTTCAGCAAATGGGGTCTGACATGGAGGTTAGAAATGACTCGGTGAATACAGAGTAAGGACTCATTAAAATTCATTTTTCCTCGATTTCATCCACTTGGTGCTTTTCTTTTATTGCAAGGTCAGGTCATTTTATGAATGAAGTTGAAATAGCTTAAATCACAAAGTGACTAATCTGAGAAATGGTAATATTTTACTCTGAAACATAGGATAAGTAGAAGAGATTAAGATAAAATAAAGGGAGATTACAGAAAGAGGGTCTCACCTTAATCCTTTATTCTGGGCGTCTTTTTTCTTCGATGAGCTCAGCAGAAATTCAGCTTCTAATCCAGCTCCTGCCTGCTTCTCTGCTGGCGGACTTGATGAGGGTTTCACTGGTGAGAAGAGACAACGAGGCTCTGGTTTCCCCGTCTGAGTAGATTTACTGAGAAAACAGTAAAAAGAAAAAGATAACTTTATTTTCAAATATTTTCCTCCAAAAATATATTGAGATTTTTTTTCAGCTTCATTGAAAAACATTGTTTATATTTTTATCTGTTTTAGCATACACTCTATCTTGTCTTGTACACGCTTTTTAGTTTTTTACCTATGTATTTTTTACTTTTGGTTTTTAGCTAATTTGTTACTTTTAGCTACCCTTTTGCTATGTTTTAGCTACAGTTCTGCTACTATTAACTAGCTTTTTGTTGTGTTGTAGATACAGTTCTGCTATTAACTAGTCTTTTGCTATGTTTTAGCTACAGTTCTGCTATTAACTAGCATTTTGCTACATTTTAGCTACAGTTCTGCTACTATTAACTAGCTTTTTGTTGTGTTGTAGATACAGTTCTGCTATTAACTAGTCTTTTGCTGTTTTAGCTACAGTTCTGCTACTATTAACTAGCCTTTTGTTGAGTTTTAGCTACAGTTCTGTTATTAACTAGCCGTTCATTGTGTTTTAGCTACAGTTCTGCTACTATTAACTAGCCTTTTAGCTAGGTTTTCACTACAGTCCTAGCTTTAGAAAGCCTTTTTTACTTTTAGCTTTACCTACCATTCTGTAACTTTTAGCTTCCACCTAGATTTTTGCTACTTTTAGCTATTATTTGTTATTTTAGGCAGAATTTTTCTTATTTAACTTTTAGCTAGCGTTTTGCTCCTTTTAGGTTTTAACTTGTGTTTTTTCCCCATTTAACTTTAGCTAGTATTTAGCTTTAACAACTTAGTTTCAGCACCCAGCATTCAGCCTGATGTTAAATCAGACCAAACCTTTCCTGTTTTAGGTCAGTTAGGATTCACTATACTATTTCTATTTGCTAAATGCTGGAAAAATGAGGGAAAGAACATATATTTAGATAATATTTTTTAATTACTTTCCTCATATTCACAAGTTTACGTACACCCACACAATGTTTTTATACCGTGTATGTGGACACCAGCGGATGTTATCTTGACATCATAATTTAAAACATTTCAAATCATAATTATCCTCTTTTAGCATCCATTTAGCACAACGTTACTCCCATAAATACACACACAGAACAATAGGCTCACCGTTGTTGAGGAGGAGAGTGAGGGGATGTCGGTATCCAGGGCACAGTCGGCTCTTTCTGAGGGAGCTGGTTCACTCGCAGCCGAGAGGAAACTGTTGGCTGCTGGAAACCTGCATCCTGCATCTGATCACGCTGAGAAACATTTAAAGTTTGTTTACATTAAAAAAACACCGTCGGCACAGCTTCTCACAGTCTGTTTTTGTAGGAGTCACGACGCTTTGAGTTTCCTGTGAAACTTTTCTTGTGTGTTGTACAAACAAAAAACAATTAGCTTCAAAGAAAACCAGCACCTTAACTGGGTCAACTTTTCTGCTCTCAGCGTGGACTTCTTTCCTGCTGTGAGTGTTTATTTGACGTTTTTCCTGCTGCTCTCTCAGCTCCCTCTGCAGGCCGACCCTCAGCACCGCTCTCTTGATCAAAGGCCACTGAGGTGCAGTTTTGGGTTTTTGTAAGATCGGTCTTCTTCCTGCTCACATAATAGAAAATAAAACTTTTTATCGGTTTGAATTTTAGTAAACAAAACTTAAGCAGAATTTTCTTTAAAAAAATGATTTTATCTAAGAACTATAACGGTTTAAAACCAGACGAACTAGATGCTCATTGAAGGTGTTTATTTCATTTCTTGCAGGAGGGAAGTGCCAGCTCAATAGAAGGCAGCAGGAGATAACTGCTCATAAAACTGAGCAGCAGGAGGGAGGCTGAGGGCCAGAGTTCTGCACCTCGTTCCTGTTTTTCCAGCATGTATTCATGCTTCATTATCAATTTATATTCTAGGAGAAACCGTTCGGGCACCGCAGGAGGCCAAACAATATCACATAAAAGGTTGTAGGTGACTTCTAAATACCCATGAGACTACACAGACAAAATTTATTTTTTTAGAGCGTTTGACAGCATTTCAGCCAATTCCTTATTTTTGAAGGAAATTACATCTGTTATATCAGATCCATACAAGAGTAAAATATTCTGTTATGATGTGTGGAAGTTTTTATTAAACAGCCACAATTACGTGCTAAAAATTAAATGCAAAATTCACAGCATGCATCCATTGTCTCTCCTTCATTGCAGAATTTAAAACTTCTTCGATCATCTTATGATGACGAATGAGAACGCTGCAGCCGTTTTCATCAAACCTTGAAAATAATATGCTTCTGTGAATGACTGTCAGCTACTACCACATCCAATTTGAGTTCATTACTTGTTTGACTGACTGAGTTATAGGCTGTGTCCAAAACGACAGGCCGGGTCCTCCGGAGGACCCAGACTCCCCGGTCTCGGCGGGCCGGGTCCTTGGTAGACCGGGAAGACCGGAACAAAAGAGGCTGTGAATTTGGACGGTCTAGCCTCCCCTCCTTACCCCGGCGTACGTTGTCACCTAGCAACTGTGATGACGCTAAACAAGCAAACTTAAATCAAAACTAGAAAAATATCAATACATTAGCATTATTAATATCACAAAACTATAAAATTAACTTAAAGGTATCATTTGAAGAACTAATTGACCCGTTGGAGGTTCATGTTTATTTCATGTTTTTTATGACAAAAAAATAATATTTAAAAACATGTCCATACAAATGATAAAAGTATTAGAATTACAACCGCTAATTTTTTTTAATTTTTATATCACCATATTTTTATTTAAAATGTATTCTTTTCTCTCGCTTCGTCCGCCATTACTAGCATAAAAAAATCTCCGGTCGGGCCGCAATGCATTATGGGATATGCTGGGCCGGGAAGGATCCATCGGACCTGTCCTTCGATTCGGGCCAAAGGAAGGACGTATTTGTCGGCCACATCGGAGGAGTCTTCGGTTTTGGACGGCCTTCGTCGCGGCGCTGTGACGTATGCGGCCGACGAATTCGACCTTCGGAGGACCCGTCCTGCCGTTTTGGACACAGCGTTTGTGTTCCAGTCCAATTCAAACCAACTTTATTTGTAAAGCACTTTGCGAACAACAGCAGACCAAAGTGCTGAACAGAATCGACATTAAAACACGGCTCAGGAAATGCAAACAAAAACACAAGTGAAAATAAAACATGTGATAAAAACAGCAAAATGCCTAGTGGAGTGAGGATAAAATGAGGGAGATGGGTTTGCTAATGTTGATTATTCGTGGTGGCCATCTTGAAATCAAAAATCTTTCAAGTGGTTCATAAAATATTTTGGCAGCAGACACAAACACACAGACAAGGGCAAAAACATGACTGTTTTTCATGCCTCTGTTTTTCAGCTCTTCTTGATAATAGCAAGTAAGTTTTTAAGCAATGAACGAAAACTTTCTGTGTTTACCGTGAATGCCTCTTCTGGGATGCATGGGTCTGCGAGGTTCTGCAGCAGTCAACACTGTGATGCTCTTGGACACCCTGGTAGGAGACCCGCCGCGATGAGGAGACTTCCTGCGTGGAGGACGAGTCAGGGCCTGCATCTTTTCAAGCGTCTCTTGTTTACTGAGAGCAGAATCCAAAATCTATAAGAAGCAGCAGGAAGATGTTTCACTGCAGAGTAAACAGATGATATCTACACAAAGAAACAACTCTGCAGCAGATTCTAAACAATGAAACATTTACACATTGTCTGGTATTCTTCAGGCTCCCTACCTCGAGTTTCTGCAGGATATCAAGAGCCATCTCGGGCACAGTGGAACCTCGGTCCAATTCAACTTTAGCTGAGCACAGAGAGAGCTGTCGAATCAGGAGGCCCAGTTCTTTACAGTGAGGAGGCATCTTGTTATAAGATAGATCTGAAAGCTGGTGGATGATAAGCTGTAAGGCCCTGAATGCTCCACGGTGGGCAGCTGCGAGTCTGTTTATTGCAGTCGACTGCAAGGGAAAAAAAAGACTGTAAATCAGTTAAGTGTTATTATCAGTGTAAAAACTGATCATTTGGTGGGCTTCACTGGTAAACACAAACAAATTTCAGCTAAATCAAATAAACAAATCATACTAAAACAACTATGCTTTCAGTCATTAGCATATTTGCATAAAATTTTAAAGTTATTTTATAATAAGAATAGGTTAAACAAAATTTCACTTTATTTTACTCATTTTTATGAATGAAATAATCAACCTCACCACAGTAAACCTTTAACACTGCTGAATGCATACCTTTTTGATGTCCCACGTTTTCTCTCTTTGTAATTTTTCAATGTCTTCTTGAATCCCTTTGACCTAAATAAAGGTGTTACGTAAGATTATTTATAAATCAGTGAGTGCATTTATCAGTTACATGCTGCACAATTTCTAATACCTGTTGTTGAAGAACATAGATGACTCGTGCGGAGCGAGCTGCCTGTTTCTGCCGGCGTATCTCAAGTTTGCTTTGCTCCTCAGGTTCCACTGGCGTCTCCATTTGTTGCCCTATTGGTTAGGAAAAAATGTCAATTCATTAAGTGTGATTCACTTTATAGCAACATAAATCTCAGGGCACTTTATAAAAAAACAACTAAAAAGAATATTAGCAACTGTGCTTTAAGTTTTATAAATCTAAAGTAAGGTTAGCTGTTTCAAGCGTTACCTCGATTAGCTAACTCCTCCACTTTCTGGATGTATCTCTTCAGCTCATTTTGCAGTTTGTGGATCTCTTTGCTTAAAGGTTCTTCTTTGGCTCCTTTCACCTGCTTTAGGCCAGGGTCTCTGGTTGGAGGAGACTGATCAAAACGAGGCATTGAAGAAGTGACGTTTTTGTTGGAAGCGTGCCGTTTGGCACCAGAGTGAGCCATTTTTGGCTTTGGACTAGAGCTTTTTGCCTCTGCTTTGCTTGGAGCGGCTACAAACTCCTGGAAAGTAAAGAAAATGCTTCATTTAGTCATTGCACAAACAAAAGACGAAACTCCTTAAACACTTAAAGAAAGAATAGCCTTTAGTTCCAATTTATGACTATAAAAGAGCACCATCACTACCTGAAGCAACTCCACATCACTTGTTTCAAAGAAGGAGGGCTCTGGTAAAGGTTTAGCAGAGATTTTCTTCAGTGACTCGAGGCGCCTTCGTCTTAGATCTCTTTTGGCCAGCTTTACCGCAGCCTGAAGCCTTTCCTCAGAGACTGTTGCAAAGCTGACAGAGGTCCTGATGCTGTCCACGCTCTCCTGCATCGCCGACCGACGTGGAAGCAGCCGTTCTATCACGATGGGGGCCGGAGGGCCAACATGGGTGGCACGGTTGATGGCACTCACAGGAATGGCTTCGTTGAACAATAACTGTGGCGTGGAAAAATACAAAATACTCAAAAACAGCCTTGATATCCTGTTAGTTTAATCTCACTGATAAATTGGTCAGAGTAGCCCTCTCATCTAGTGCTATAAAATGATACAATGATATGCATCAATGTGTGCCCAACAATTTTCACTTTTACATGCAATATATTTACAAACACTACAATAAAAACGTTGAGGTTAAAGCTCAGTTCAATAAACGAGCAGATAGCCAAATAAATAGTTTACCTTAGTTTGAGACATCCTATCCAAATTTATATTTCGAGTTGAGTCAACGGCAACCCAGTCTCTGTCTTGCTTTTGTTGTCCCAATAAAACAATATTATCATTCCGCACAAACTGTGCAGTCATTGCAGCGAAAACATCCACTACTAGTAGTGTAAAAACTGTAAACAATCATGAGCGTTAGCAAGCTAGCTAGCTAGCTAGCAAGTTAATCCCAAAATCGTCCGTTCGAACATATTTACAACTACGTCTCCCAGTCTGTATAGTCATCATAAACCAACTTTACGAACGGGGTGGCTAATGAAAGCGTACATCGTGGTTAAAAGTTCAAAATATCAGTACAGACATGACAACAGTTTTGAAACGGCGCCATGACAACAACAACCGGAAATCGTTTCTTCTTCTTCGGTTTGACGAAAGTATATTTTCCTTTTTGTTTCGTTACAAATATTCTGAATAATAAAAGAAAACCATTACTATACGTTATTAAATGTGTAATAAATATTAAATGTTACAAAAAAAAACTCGTCAAAGAACCTTTGCACGACCCGGAAGTAATACTTGAACTTCCGGGTTGAAAGCTGTGTCAAAAAAGCAGTGTAGGATTTCAACTTTACGCTTGGATCAGGGTTTAATTTTTTTATCTCTATGGCTCGTTACGAAGAAGTAAATGTTCACGGCTATGATGAGTTCTGTCAGGCTGTGTCTGAACGGAAGGGGAAGGATGTTTTTGTTTATTTTTCAGGTGATAAAGACGCGCAGGGAAAGAGCTGGTGTCCAGATTGTGTCAAAGGTAATCTCAGCCTATTTTTTTTTTTCGTTTTGTTTTGTTCTTTTGCAAAATGCATTAAAATGCTGTAAAGACATTGTTAATGCCGTTTATAAACAGTTCATTAAAAAAATCTTTTTCATTTTTAGCTGAGCCGGTGGTCAGAGGAGAACTGACTCACCTTCCCGAGGATTCAGTTTTCATTTATTGTCAAGTTGGAGAAAGAGCTTAGTAAGTGTTTACCGCTTTATCCACGGGTTTTATGGCAATTCTTAAACATTAGAGCTTCAGTCTCCATATCTTTGTCAAAATTCATTTCATTTCTAAATAACACGTTTTGATCACCAAATATATTAAATAAGCAAGATTTTGTGATGATCATTATTATTTGTAAAAGTTAAGAATACATTCTTACTTTGAG